TTCTGTTTGGCTTTGAGGTGCTGTTTTGGAGCCTCACCCTCCGTCTCCTTCAGCGGCAGGCAGCCTAAGGAGCATGACAGGGCCACGGGTTCCATGTCACAGGTTTCTGAAAGCTCTGCTGCTTGGAGCCTGGTGACCCTGTCCCCTCTGGGAACTGTGCAAGCAGCTGTCTCCTTGGGAACGTGGCATTAGCATGTTTTGCATGAGAATGAACACCAACCAATGCTGAATATCAATTGGATCCTAGAGTGCAGCTGCCTTTTAAATGTTCCTTTGTGTGGCTGAACTTCCTGCTCCAGCGGATTCCTGGAGCTTGTGTGAAGACACAGAGTCCTTAAGTCACCTTAGTGTCTTGCTTGCGCTATCTCTGGATCTTGCTGTCATCATTTATTTTATCCTTAGAAGTATGGCAAAGAGAAATACATACATATATAGAGACGCATGTCTGCACACAGACACAACACAGACACACGTACCTACACATGCTTACAACACACACAACCTGGGCACACACCCACAACATACATCTCCATAGAGACACAACACAGGCACACATACCCACACACATATGACATACAACACAGGCGCACACATGCAACATACATGGACACATGCATCTACACGCATGCACAACCCAGGTGTACACATGCAGCACACATCTACACAGAGACATACATGTGCATTCAGACACAAGCTAGACTCACACATACATCTACACATGCAAACAGCCCAGGCATATACATACAACATGCATCCATGCAGAGATATACATCTACACGCATACACAGCCCAGGCACACAGACAGTATGTGTACTTATATACCGACAGGCATTTATACACATACAACATGCATCTGCACACATACAACATAGACACAGGCAACATCTACATGTAGACCTGTGCACAAGCACAACATAGACAAATCACACACACAATCTACAGAGCTGCCTCTTGGGACCAGTTAAAAACCAAAGTTGGAGTATGACTTCAGCAGAGTCCTGAATTCCCATTTTTGGTCCTTTTCTTTGTGTTGGTGACCCTGATTTCCCAGATTCTTATCAACTGGGATAATAAAAACCAATTAGTGATTTTATAACTTGACTTTGCAAGGTAGGGGTGGGGGACAAACTTGGTCCAGGCGTCGTGGTGCTGCTGCAGGTCTGAATAAAGTGCAATGTTAGGACGGAGTGCCCTGCGTTGTTGCGTTTCTGGTGTGGGAAGTGATGACGCAGCACACACCACTCCCCTGAGAACAGAGCACCCCGCTCCTGTAGGGCGGTCCTCTAGGAAGACGGGACGGAGCCTCTGGGCGCCTTCTGACCAGAAGAGAAGCCAAGAGCCAGCCTGCTACCTGGTTTCTCGGTGGTCTTTTGCTCCATGTCATTGTTCACTTTTCACAGGGGCTTTGCTCCCTGAAGGGGAGTTCTCTTTTGTTTCTAGATGGACCTCGGAGCACTGCTGCAGAAGGCACTTTGCAAATAGCATTCCTTGTTAATTAGCGGGTGACCAAAGGCACTTGGATTTTAGTAATAAATCATAGTTCATTTAATTCTATTTCTACGATGTGGTGTGATATCAACCCACAGCTGTGGGTTCAGCTGTGTCCCCACCCAAATCTCAACTTGAATTGTATCTCTGAGAATTCCCACGTGTTGTGGGAGGGACCCAGGGGGAGGTAATTGAATCATGGGAGCTGGTCTTTCCTATGCTAGTCTCATGAGAGTGAATAAGTCTCACGAGATCTGATGGGTTTATCAGGGGTTTCCACTTTTGCTACCTCCGTTTTCTCTTGCCACTGCCATGTAAGAAGTGCCTTTTGCCTCCTACCATGATTCTGAGGCCTCCCCAGCCATGTAAAACTGTAAGTCCAATTGAACCTCATTTGGTTCCCAGTTTGGGGTATGTCTTTATCAACAGTGCGAAAATGAACTAATACATGGCACTTCAGGAATTTTAAAAGGGAAAAAAAGTTCAAGTGTATGTCAACTTTTTGAAATGAAATGAATTATTGAACACTGAAACATTGAGGCTGGGCACAGTGGCTCACACCTGTAATCCCAGCACTTGGGAGGCCAAGGCAGGTGGATCCCTCAAGTCCAGGAGTTTGAGACCAGTCTGGGCAACATGGCGAAACCCCATCTCTACAACAATACAAAAAGTAGCTGAGTGTGCTGATGCATACCTGTGGTCCCAGCTACTAGGGATGTTGAGGTGGGAGGTGGAAGCTGCAGTGGGCCCAGATTGTGCAGTCCAGCCTGGGCAACAGAGCAAGACCCTGTCTCAAAAATTAATTAATTAATAATATAGAAATGAAATGGAATATTGAATACTGAGCCATCGAATATTGAAATGCAATGTAGGGGAGACATCTGACCTGTGAGAGCACTTCTCAGAATGCAAGTCAATTTGGCAGCATTTTAATGATGTCATTCCGTATTTTGTAACCAGGCAGATGTATTGTTCTCTAACCCATGCATAAATGTGTTCAAGTTTTTTTTGTTGTTTTGTTTTTGTTTTTTAATAGAGTCTCACTTTGTTACCCAGGTTGGAGTGCAGTGGTGTGATCTCAGCTCACTGCAGCCTCCATCTCCCAGGTTCAAGTCATTCTCCTGCCTCAGCCTCCCAAGTAGCTGGGATTACAGGCACACACCACCATGCCCAGCTAATTTTTGTATTTTTTGGAAGAGACAGGGTTTTACCATGTTGGCCAGGCTGATCTCGAACTCCTGACCTCAAGTGATTCGCCCACCTCAGCCTCCTAAAGTGCTGGGATTACAGATATGAGCCACCGCATTTAGCCATTCAAGTTATTTTGATAACACTTCAAGTTAGGAGTTTGTTAGGGTCTGCCCAGTGCACATGAGAACTCCGGCGTCCTTGAGTTGGGTTGCTGTTGTCTGTAGCTCTGAGGTTGAGCTGTTTGGTTACAGCTTGTTTTGTAAGCCTGTGCTGTGTCTTCAACAAGACTTGAACTCTTCTGTCCTCTTCCAGACCTTGAGGACTTGAGCTCCTGACTTTGGGGTAATGGCACCCAGCCCTCCCCATGCTCCCAGTAGCACAGGTTGGAGGGCACATGGCCACAGCCTCCTTACAGCAGGGAGGGGAGGGCATTGGGTATTCATTAAACCCCGAGGGACTTTTCCTGAGGACACAGCAACATGACAGCCACAGGGTACTTGATTTGCTGTGCACAGTCTGGGTGGGCTGGGGCATCTCTGAGGCTCAGAACACCAGGTGACACATCCACATTGTTCCAAGACACAAGTTCAGAGGCAGTGCAGCCCCTGGTCCTGGAACGAAGCTCTATGTAGGCGCTGGGTGCCGGGAGGAAGAGGATCGTCTCTTCTGCTTCACACTTAGACCGCTTGCTGCCCTTGTTCAGATCTCCTTTAAGAGCTCAAAGGTCATCTTCTGATGAGGATGATATTTAGTAGCTCCTTCCCTGAAGCAGAGGCTGGTTTCTTACTCTGTTGGGTCAGAAAGAGCCATGTGCCAGCAAAGCCGTGCTGAGCTGATTCGTTGAAACATTGACAGTTGCTAGCCCATGAGATTTTGCTATAGCATGGATAAACACACATGTGAGGCCTGCCTGTGTGTGCTGCAGGCATGCTTATGCATGTGTGTGCATATAAACATATGTACATGTGATATGGGATAGTAATGGGAAGATCCATGAGTCATGGCCACTTCTGAAAGAAATAACCTTTCTTGGGTGCAGTGGCTCATGCCCATAATCCCAGCACTTTGTGAGGCTGAGGCAGGTGGATGGCTTGAAGGCAGGAGTTCGAGACCAGCCTGGCCAACATGGCAAAACCCCATCTCTACTAAAAATACAAAAAGTAGTCGAGTGTGGTGATGTGCACCTGCAGTTGCAGCTACTTGGGAGGCAGGCAAGAGGATCACTTGAGCCCAGGAGTTTGAGACTAACCTGGTCAACACAGTGAGACCCCATCTCTACAAACATGTTAAAAGTCAGCCAGGTATGGTGGTGAGCACCTGTAGCCTCAGCTACTTGGGAAGCTGAGGGGGCAGGATTTCTCAAGCCTAGGAGTTTGAGGCTGCAGCACGCTGTGATTGCACCATGGCACTCCAGCCTGGGTGACAAGAGCGAGACCCCAACTCTAAAAAGAACCTTTGTTGGTCTTATTTTTCATAATACAGTACTGATTTTCAAGGTTTTATTAAAGAATTGGTTTGCGACTCATCTTAGAAAGATTTACCTCTTTGTATATGGCAAATTTCCATAAGCCACATAAAAATACTGTAACTTGAAGTAAGTATTTCTGAATATAGCCATATGCGAACATTTTCACATTCATGTTGTTTCTAAAATTTTTCTTCATTTATTTCTGCAAAAACAAATGCTGTGTGTGTGTGTGTGTGTGTGTGTGTGTGTGTGTGATATGTGTGTGATGTGTGTGTGATGTGTGTGCCTGTGTCTTGAATGCTTCATGTTCTCTTGTGGGACATGCCAGTCAACAGCCTCATGTTGTCTGAGGTGTATCCAAACTCCCCAGCTTGCACAGGAGTTGCAGTAGAGAAAGATGTGGGAACGTGCATATGGATTTCACTCCTGAAAGTGGCTTAAGGGGCCGGGCGCGGTGGCTCAAGCCTGTAATCCCAGCACTTTGGGAGGCCGAGGTGGGTGGATCATGAGGTCGAGAGATCGAGACCATCCTGGTCAACATGGTGAAACCCTGTCTCTACTAAAAATACAAAAAACTAGCTGGGCATGGTGGCGCGTGCCTGTAATCCCAGCTACTCAGGAGGCTGAGGCAGGAGAATTGCCTGAGCCCAGGAGGCGGAGGTTGCGGTGAGCCGAGATCGTGCCATTGCACTCCAGCCTGGGTAACAAGAGCGAGACTCCCTCTCAAAAAAAAAAAAAAAAAAAAAAAGAAAAGAAAGTGGCTTAAGGGGATTGTGAAGATCCAGGTCCAGTACCTTGTGGCAGGAGGGTGTTACTGGATTTGTTGGTTGATTCGTACTTGTTCTTCCTCTAGACAAGCAGATGCCCGGTGTCAGGAAGGCAGCCCAGGATCACAGCAGTACCCACCAAGTCAGAGCGCACCGAACCCACCCGCATTCTCTGAACTATCTCACTCCCAGGGAGCCCCAGAGCTGCCCCAGGAGGTCCGAGGACGAGCAGGAACCCTACCTCGAGATTATAGATACTCAGAGGAGAGCACCCCAGCAGACTTGGGACCCCGAGCCCAGAGTCCCGGCTCGCCCCTGCACGCTCAGGGACAGGACTCGTGGCCAGTGAGCTCAGCACTGCTCACCAAGAGGCCAGCCCCACAGAGGCCACCACCACCCAAGCGCGAGCCCAGGAGGTACAGGGCCACAGATAGCACACCTGCTGACGTTCCCCTGGCTGTCCCCAACAGGCCCTTCCCAACGCCATCCCCTGCGTCCCTGGACGTGTGTGTGGCCCACCTGTCCCTCTCCCACAGCCCCTCTGTGTTCAGCAGTACCCAGCCCCAGGACACCCCGAAGGCCACCGCCTGTGAGCGTGGCAGCCAGCATGTGAGCGGGGACACATCCCGTCCTCTGCCAGAAGCACTGCTCCCTCCCAAGCAGCAGCACCTGCGCCTGCAGACAGCCGCCATGGAGACCTCGCGCTCCCCCTCACCTCAGTTCGCCCCCCAGAAGCTGACGGACAAACCTCCCCTGCTCATCCAGGATGAGGATTCGACCAGGTACTGTCCTGCGATGGGGCCACTTGCGGTGTTCCCTCCCCATGAGGCTCCTTCCATGGGATGTGGGTTCACAGTGGGTCTTTCTGGGGTATCACCTGGGCACCTTGCTTTAGCTGAAGGCATTGGGCTTAAAGTTAGTCCTGGGGAATAATTGTGTGGAAGAAAGTGCAGCTTCAGTGCTGGTTGGATTTTTACCTCAGTGGTGGGCTGCTGTTTCCTGCAGGGAATGGTGGGAGATGTGAAGTAGGTGGTCCATCTTCCCCTTCTTCCAATCCAGATGCATTTTTATGTACATTACCCACAGGATATGCAGGTTAGAGGTGCGTTTTTGTGCGTTGTTGTTTTAATGCAGTCAGTATTTGTGATTGGAATTGAGTTTAACCTAAGCATGTGACCTTTAGGTGAAATTGGTATTTTTTATGGTGTCCAGTGTTTCTTACTCCTTTTCTTCCAGATTTTTTTTAATGTTAGAAAGCTAAGCTGGTTATATGCCTTTTGTTAAAGCAGAAGAATACTCAATCACATTTCATGGTGCTATCATCAGGATTTCAGGCATGGAATTACTGCGTCCATTGAGATGTTGATGGAAGTCAGTCAGGTGCTTGACCTTTCAAGAGCAGGGCCCAGCATGGTGGCTCACACCTGTAATCCCAGCACTTTGAGAGGTCAAGGCAAGTGGATTGCTTGAACCCAAGGAGTTCGAGGTCAGCCTGGGCAACATGGCAAAACCCTGTCTCTACTAAAACTACAAAATATTAGCCAGGCGTGATGGTGCACACCTATAGTCACAGCTTCCCAGGGAGGAGGCTGAAGTGGGAGGATCACCTGAGCCTGGGAGGTCCAGGCTGCAGTTAGCCATGATGATACCACTGCCCTCCAGCCTGGGTGACAAAGTGAGACCCTGTGCAAAAAAGTGCTGGCTATTTAGTTTTCTTCCCATGCAAACACCACCTCCTCGAGTGCCTTGAAGGACTGAGAAATGGATGGGGAGAATTTCCGCCTTGATGTCTAGAGCAATGGCTCTCAACCTAGGAGGTGGAGGACAATTTTGGCCCCCAGGGGACATTGGGCAATGTCCAGAAACAGTTTTTGTTGTCCTAAGTGGGATGGGGGTGGGAGTGCTCTCAACATCTAGTAGTGGAGCCCAAGCAGTCTGCTCAGCGTCTGCAGTGCAAGGACGTCCCCCACAGAGCATTGTCTGACCGCAGATGCCAGCTGCTCTTAGGCTGGGAACCCTGCTATAGAGCCGCATGCCCGGCACAGGACCCACTGTCGCTTGTGCTGTGTAAACGTGAGGCAAAGAAAACCTAGTCGGCCGGGTGTGGTGGCTCACACCTATAATCCCAGCACTTTGGGAGACCACGGCGGGCAGAACATGAGATCAGGAGATCAAGACCATCCTGGCCAACATGGTGAAACCCTGTCTCTACTAAAAATACAAAAATTAGCTGGGCATGGTGGTGCACGCCTGTAGTCCCAGCTACTCAAGAGGCTGAGACAGGAGAATCGCTTGAACCTGGGAGGCAGAGGTTGCAGTGAGCCGAGTTCATGCCACTGTACTCCAGCCTGGCAACAGAGTGAGACTTCTCTTAAAATAAAAAAAAAAAAAAAGAGAGAGGAAGGAAACCAAGTCAATGAATACAAGTCCTCAGTCAGATAACAGGTATTCTCGCTGCAGAAAGTTCTCTGGGACCTCACTGCTGTAGAGTCTCAAGTCATTTTTTTTCTTAGCTTCTAAACAACTCAGCAGAGAAAACATATGACTGATACTGATCCTGTATCTCCAGCTGTGGCACTGTAACCACAGCTTTATCTGTGGGCCAAAACTGGGCTTTGCATCATTTAAAACGTTTCTGGAGATCACTCAACTATCCTTTCAACTGGTAACATTGTAAGGTTCTGAAAGGAAAGTGTCTTACTCCTTTCAGGCTGCTATAATAAGATCTCATGGACTGCACTGCTCATTAACAGGAGAAATTTGTGTCTCACAGTTGTGGAGGCTAGGAGTTCAAGATTAAGGCATGGCAGATTTGGTGTCTGGTGAAGAGCCATTCCTGTCTCAGATGGCTGCTTCTCGCTGTGTGCTCACATGGCAGAAGAGGCAGAGGGGCTCCCTGGGATCCCTTTTCTAAGAATACTCATCCCCTTCATGAGGCTCCCCTGTCATGACCTCGGCAGCTCCTTCAGGCCCCACCTCCTAACACCATCACCTTGGGGGTTAGATTTCAACATACTACTTTTGAGGATTATGTTGAAATCTACATATTTATTCGGTTGATTGATTGATTGAGACAGAGTCTTGCTCTATCACCCAGGCTGGGGTGCATTGGTGTGATCTGGGCTCACTGTAACCTCTGCTACCCAGGTTCAAGTGATTCTCCTGCCTCAGCCTTCCGAGTAGCTGGGACTACAGTCCTGCACCACCACACCCAGCTAAGTTTTGTATCTTTAGTAGAGACAGGGTTTCGCCATGTTGGCCAGTCTGGTCTCGAACTCCTGACCTCAAGTGATCCACCCGCCTAACCTCCCAAAGTCCTGGGATTACAGGCATGAGCCACTGCACCTGGCCTCTTTCCCAGTATTTTAAAACCTGTGAAGGGAGATTTGATTATGTTGTTTAATTTTTTCTATTGGTCACATCAAATTTCTGCACAGAAAGGGGACACTTTCACATCAGCATAGGCTGATGTGAAAGTCAGTACTAGGCGAGCAGGGTTTCTGGGATGATGAGGGAGTACAGAGGCTTCTGCTTTTGCTGCTGCTTGGATAAGGTGGCCGGGTTTTCCTCCTCCATTTATTATTATTATTATTTTAACAGAGAGATGGGGGTCTCTGTGTTACCTGGGTTGGTCTCAAACTCCTGGGCTCAAACAGTCCTCCCACCTGAGCCTCCCACAGTGCTGGGATTTCAGGCGTGAGCCACTGCACCTGGCTGGGATTTTCCTTCATAAGTCTGACCTACCTAAGCAATATTTTTCACATTTAGACTTTGTAAATTTTCTTCACGAGGAAGCAGTTGTGAGGACTGTCTGTGAGTCCCTAGATAAAACACATAAGATGTTAATGGACCCTACTAGAGAGAGGAAGGAAAATACACAGTTCATCTCAGCCTGAGCACCACTCCCTTGTGGATAGGGAAAGAGCCCTCCTGCATTCCCAGTCACCAGTGAAAGAGAGAACACAGCATTACATTTAGAGCATCGTGGCTGCCCTTGTGCTATGGAAAATTGGGTTCCTTTGTGTAATGTTGTAGGTGCAGTGTTGGGTGGACTTCATTAGAAACACATCCTCATTTGGGGTTGTGGAGTTTGGACTGTTCCTTTTTAATTCCCTCCTGACCCCCGGCAGATGGGGCTGCTTCTCCAATGCTCTGAAAAGCTCTTGAAAGCCCTGGTTAGTGTGGTCCAGCCTGGTGCCACTGAGAGCAGCCAGTGCGGGGCTGCCCCCAATGCGGGACCACGGCATTGCTGGGCTTGTTCCTCTTGTTCTCTTTCCCCCAGCCCTCCAGGGGTGCTTTAGGTGCCTCTCTAGCCCTTTCACCCAGAAACTTTTTTTTTTTTTCTTTTTTGAGATGGAGTCTTGCTCTGTTGCCCAGGCTAGAGTGCAGTGATACAATCTCAGCTCATTGCAACCTCTGCCTCCCAGGATTCAAGTGATTCTCATGCTTCGGCCTCCTGAGTAGCTGGGATTACAGGTGCACACCACCACACCCAGCTAATTTTTGTATTTTTAGTAGAGACAGGGTTTCACCATGTTGGCCAGGCTGATCTCGAACTCCTGACCTCAAGTGACCTACCCGCCTCAGCCTCCCAAAGTGCTGGGATTACAGGCCACCACACCTGGCTGAAACTAAAAAAAAAAAAAAGGAAATCTGTGTCCTTTGGGACTGACTTAGAGTAATACAGAACTGATGATTCCCTGCTTACCATGAGAGCCTATCTCACTGGTGTGCAAATGTGTGCAGGGCTAGTTTGAAGCACAGGGGGTTGGGGGGTACAAGGACAGTGTGGGGTGGGCTGTCCTGCACATGGCAAGGGAGCTTCTCCCAAGTGGGGCAGTGGCCCGACTCCCAAGCACAGCCCCTCTGGAAAGGAGCTCTCCCCAGGGCCTGAGAACTACAGGGGAGCCCGCAGGCCTGTATCAACCTAAGGACTGATGGGAATCCTGGAAAATGCCCATCCATGTGGGCTTCCCCTGCAAAAGGACATTTAACCGAACAGGGCTTGTTAAACTTTGTATTATCATTGGAAGAATGACAAATGATATTAAACAGTCCTCACAGCCCTCCGCAAACCCCTGGAGGATGCCCTGGGATGCCTCAGAGATGGCATTGGCAGTTTGAGCATGGAAAGGATGCTGGGGTCAGGAGGCAGAGGTAGGAGTCAGAGGGAGCTTCTTGAGGCCTCTGCCTTATCCAGGATGTGGGATCATGGAGGCTCTTTCGAGTCAGGCGGCTGGCTAGCGCCTTTGAGTCAGGTGGCTGGCTAGCGCCTTTGAGTCAGGTTCCCATCTGGAGGGGATGTGTCAATCAGGGTCTGTGGCTAGAGCATGCTTTGCGATTTCAGCAGACAGTTCTTCTTCCAGAATTGAGCGGGTGATAGACAACAACACCACGGTGAAGATGGTACCCATCAAGATTGTGCACTCAGAGAGCCAGCCAGAGAAGGAGAGCCGCCAGAGCCTGGCACGCCCCGCTGAGCCTCCCGCCCTGCCCCGCGGGCTGGAGAAAGACCAGATCAAGACGCTGAGCACATCCGAGCAGTTCTACTCCCGCTTCTGTCTGTACACGCGGCAGGGCACTGAGCCCGAGACCCCACACAGGGCCCAGCCGACCGAGCCCCAGCCCCCAAGCACCCAGGCGCCCCCTGAGAAAGACCGCTGCACCTCCCCTCCGGGGCTCAGCTACATGAAGGCCAAAGAGAAGACCGAGGAAGACCTGAAGTCGGAGGAGCTGGCCAGGGAAATCGTGGGGAAGGATAAGTCCCTGGCCGACATCCTGGATCCCAGTGTGAAGATAAAAACCACCATGGACTTGATGGAAGGCATTTTCCCCAAAGATGAGCACCTCCTGGAAGAAGCCCAGCAGCGGAGGAAGCTGCTCCCCAAAATCCCCTCTCCTAGAAGCACAGAGGAGAGGTGAGTAGACGTGGCCTTCCAGCTTGGGCGTGACTCTGCCTGGCATCTCTTAGGCTTGTAAAGGGAAAGGGGGCATGTCTGTTTCTCGGTTTTCATGCTTGCCTTTGGGGAAGACAGATTTTCATAAGGGCCCCTTGATGTTTAGCACTTTTTGGCTTTTTTGTGAGCCTCCTGGAAGAGAAATGGAGGGTCAGTAGTCCCATCCCAGGGTATGATGACTTTGGGCCTGACATGAAAATATGAAAATACACACTGCAGGCCACCAAACTGCCTTGGCCTGAGGAGGCCAGCAGGATTTCTGACGATGGCCACAGGTCTCCTTTCTCATAAGACCTCTGTTCTCAGTGGGGGTCATTGTCTACCCTGGGGAACAGTTGAAAATGTCTCTGTGGGGAGGGGTGCTCTGGGCATCTGGTGGGTGGAGCCCAGGGGTGCTGCTCGACATCCTACAGAGCACAGGAGGCCCCACCACAGAGATTCATCCAGCTCCCATGCATCCCTGGTGCCAGCATGAGAGTGAGGGCTTAGGTGGAATATATGTGTTTCTTTATGAAATTTTTTTAAATTTATTTGAAACTTTTTTACATCTGCATTTTTTAAAGTATTACAATTTGGCCAGGCACAGTGGTGCACACCTATAATCCCAGCACTTTGGGAGACCAAAGTAGGCAGATATTCGAACCCATGAATTCAATACCAGCCTGGGCAACATGGCAAAACCCTGTCTCTACAAAAAAAAAAAAAAAAAAATTACAAAAAATCAGCCAGGCATGGTGGCAGACACCTGTAGTCCCAGCTACTCAAGAGGCTGAGGTGAAAGGATCACTTGAGCCCAGGAGTTGGAGGCTGCAGTGAGCTATGATGGCGCCACTGCACTCCAGTGCGGTGACAGAGCAAGACCCCATCTCTTGAAATAGAAATGAAAAAAAATTGTGACAATTTACACCTGCCTGATGAATATATTTTAATTGGTTTTATAACTAGCACTTTTGGCATATCTCCTTAAGCCACTTGACCGCAAAGGCATGCGTGGTGGCATCTTCCCTGCTGCTGACATGTGTTCTGCCAGCACAGCATCATTCACGGGTAGGAAGGTGGAGTGAGCATGACACACAGCCAAGGAGGAGCAGCTGGACCAAGTCGACCCAGGCAGGGCGGCGCCGACAGGGCTGCTGGGAGGAAGGGAGAGGGTTGATGTTTGTAGATAACGTCACACGTGTCCTTGTCCTCATGGACCCAGGCTCTTGGCGGAGGTCATCTGTGCTCTCACCTCTATGGTGAAGATTTTAGGCATTCCTGCTGATTTGAGTTTTTGCCTTTTTAAAAAACTGTTTCACACACTTACGAGTGTCCACTTGGCAAGGTTGATTGTTTTCAGTTTTAACCTTGTCACCTGTTTTTCCCCCTTTGGCTGTCTCATCTTCCTGGCTGATGTCCTTTTGTGAGCACCAGCATTGATTTGTCACAACCCAGGGGGTGGTGCAGAAGGGCTGTTTGCATGCACGGTCCCAGCTCATTGAAGTTCCCACGCCTTTACCCAGGAAAGAGGAGCCCTGTGTGCCTGCGGCTATGTCCCTGGCCACCAATTCCACCTACTACAGCACATCGGCCCCCAAGGCGGAACTGCTGATCAAGATGAAGGACCTGCAGGAGCAACAGGAGCGCGAAGAGGATTCGGGGAGCGACTTGGACCATGACCTGTCGGTGAAGAAGGTAGGAGAGCCCATTCCAAATGACAGCATGCACGTGTCTAGGCAGGGGGAGGCATCCAGACCACACCATCCTACCCCAGCCCAGACTGTGTACCATGTGTCTGAGGGCATTTGTGTTCGGCTTTCACTCAGGACAGTGGAATTTGAAGTGATATTACTAAGCCCTCTGTGCCTAGTTCTGTGATCTAATCTTGAGCCATTCCACAAACGTCTCTTTGCTGTTTCTAATAGGATCCAATGTCAAATTAGTTTAAATAGTTGCCATTGTCTTTCACTTTATTTTATTTATTTATTTTTGAGACAGGGTCTTGCTCTGTTATGCAGGCTGGAGTGCAGTGGTGCGATCATGGCTCACTACAGCCTTGACCTCCTGGCCTCAAGTGATCCTCCTTCCTCAGTTAAAGGAAAATCATTTTCATATTAGAAAGTGGTAATTTTTATTTGAGATAGACTCTCCCTCTGTCACCCAGGCTGGAGTGCAGTGGCACAATCTCAGCTCACTACAACCTCCACCTCCTGGGTTCCAGTGATTCTCCTGCCTCAGCCTCCCAAGTCGCTGGGATTATAGGAACCTGCCACCATGCCTGGCTAATTTTTGTATTTTTAGTAGAGATGGGGTTTCACCATGTTGGCCAGGCAGGTCTCAAACTCCTGACCTCAAGTGATCCACCCACCTTGGCCTCCCAAAGTGGTGGGATTGCAGGCATGAGCAACTGCTCCCAGACTAGAAGGTGATTAACTTTTTGTTCAAGATATTATAAAGGGAATGAAAATTAAGGGTTTGGGTCCTGGGACTTCTACGGGCCCTCCATCTGGCACAGGGTACCATTCGCTTCATTCTGGTTGCACATTCCTCTTTTAAAAAACAAAGAATCCAAAATGTGTTGAATTTTTCCACACAGAACCAAGAAAATCATACCGTGGGGACCGTTTGAACTTAGGCCACACCCTAGATGTAGAGAACTGCATTCTTTGCTCACATGCCTTTGTTTCTCATGATACGATGAATTTCAGAAGTGGCATGGCATGCTTTGATCCTGCCGCCCTCATCTGCGGGGCACCCTGTCCGCCTGCTTTGGGAGGCTGGAGATGCTGGGCAGCCGCCTCACCAGATGTATGACTCCAGGACTGACTGAGTCGTTGTGGGCTGGAAGTCAGCCTGTACTTTAGTTCAGCAAGCGGGAGTTGGACACCTGCCCCAGAAGCACACGCTGTAAATCCCAGTTCTCCATGGTGCTGGTGACTCAGCCGTCCCATTTTCCTGCTTGATTTGACAAGGCGGCCACTGCTCCGTTACATTTTTTCCCTGCCTTCCCGCAGCCACATGCTCATGATGTCGCACATTCCTGCAACACATGTGCAGGAAGAGGCATGTTCAGGGAGGAAGTGAGCACAGTGCAGGCAGGAACTTGGCAGGCCACCTGCTCTGTAGCTGCTTCAGGGGAAACCATGAGACCCTAATTCCACACACTTCCAACATTCCCAGGGGGACCACAGTTGTCCCAGTCACAGCATTGCTGGGTGGTCATAGAGCTGAGAGCGAAATCAGGGGACCCTCTGTTTTAGGAGAAGACTAAGGACAGAGGCGAAAGAATGGAAGCCCCAGGCAGGAATGCAGCAGAGGACTCTGGTGGCCAGGAGAGAAGCACCACGCAGAGATGGCAAAATATGGTTTTATACTTGGGGTAGCTCAGAAGGACTCTGCCCAGAAAAGAGGGCACCATGTTGAGTTGTGGGGCTTCTTCAGGAGGACCAGATAGCTGATTGGTTTCAGTTCAGAATCTTTGAGAAGTATGGCTTTTCCCTGGAGCCAGGAGGTGAGTACAGGGCCCAGACAGAAAAGATCTTGTTTCCCCCATAGAAGGGAACAAAAGGTGGCCTGGGGCTCGATCCTTCAAGCCTTGGCCCATCTTACTGGAGGGGTGAGAGTGGCTGTGTGCCTGGTCTCTACTGCTGCAGGCTCTAACCAGAGCCTCCCAGAAAGCCCCTCACTACAAGAAGTAGCAGATTGGCCTGCCAGACGGTACGGCCGCAGTGGTGAGTTCTTCAGCACCTGGGTGGTGTGGACAGCCACTGATCTGTGTGCTGTCCTGGGCCAAGTCTTATCTCAGAAATCTTTGAAAGCCAACAGCTGCTCTTTCTACAATGGCCCTTTAACAAAAGGGAAATGATTTCAATAAAAATTTGCATATGACATGTAAAAGAACCGATAAAGAAACCTGGATACCTTCCAGAGGGCCCAGTTTCAAATTAACTCAGCCAAGGTAGATTTTTGAGGGCATGTTCATCCACTGGTGTAAAATCTACATTTCCACAATTGCTGAATAATAATGAAAAATTCCTGAGCAGCTCTGGCGAGTATCCTTCTAGCCACAGTTACCTGCATTGCTTGCAGTATTCCTTCAGGCTAGCATTGGCATCAGACGGGAATCTGGAAAGTTCTTCATGCCTGTTTCCTGTTTTGTGCTTTGCCTTCAAGTGATGAATATCTAAAATGTGGCCACATTCTCAGCTGTGAGATTCACGATTTAAACAGTGTCTCCAGATAGGTAGTGAGTAGGAAAAGACGCAAACTGCTTTTCCTCTGCTCTCACACCACGGCAACCAACACAGAAGACTTCGGTGACCACATGTGTGGAGGGTGTTTTCCACACACCCAGCGAGCAGCCACTTCTGCAGCAGACACCAGCTGGGTGGCCTCTGATTCAGTTCAGTTGTGACACTGTCAAGCTGGAGGTAGCATCACATGCCACGGGTTGAGGGCTCAGTCCCCAAGACTGCACCCCCGCCACACACCAGTCACAGGTCCGAGTCTCAGGGACTTCTGACCAACCACCTTGAAGTTGGGGTTCCCATGACCCCCCTCTTTGGCTTCCATTAATTTGCTAGAGTGGCTCACAGACCTCAGGGAAACATTCACATTTATGATAAACGGTGTTACAAGGGATATGCATGAAGAGCTATGTAGGGCGAGGTATGGGAAGAGCTTCCATGCCCTCCCTGGGTACACCTCCCTCCAGGAAGCTCCGTGTCCTCTGCCTTCCAGAAGTCCCCCAAGCTCCATCCTCTTGGGCCTTTTATGGAGTCTTCATTGCATAGGCCTGATTGAAATCTGTGTAGAAATGTGGTTGGACAAAAAGGCTGTGATCCAATCCTCACGGACTTAGGAGAAAACCCCAACGTCTGTCTGTTGAGATTCTTGTCCTCTCTGTGCAACGTTCCTTCCTGCAGGTGAGCCGCAGGACCTTTTGGGAATACAGGGATCTTAAGACCTGCAGTCATTCAAGGGGGCGGAGGATTTCTTGATGGAAAGGTTGGGGAAGATTAGATCGTGCTTTGGGCAGGTCGAAGGCTGCAGGAGAAGGTCAGGGAGCGAAAGTCTGTTTTCTGAGGCGTAAAGCACCCTAACATTATAACAAGGGCTGCACGCACTGTGTACAGGAACTGTGTACAAAGCCCAGTGTAGGTAAATAAGTAGATCAGTACCTGCATGTATATTGCATCACAGGTAAGTAAACAGACACACAGATACATAGATACAGAGGGGAAAAAAAAAAAAAAAAAAAGAAAAGAAATGTAGACACATGTTTAAAATTGTAAGGGAAGAACATGTCTCGTCATTCTGAGCAGCTGGAACCTGACTGGAGAAGCCAAAGCAATGTCTCCATTCCATGTGGTCTTTCTGGGAGAAAGCTGTGCTGGTGACTCAGCAGCGAGGGTGGAGGCGTCCTGCGAAACTGCGTCCCGCTTTAATCTGTAGGAGAGGCAGGCGAGCTCAAAAACCCAAGGCAGACTGAACCAAGAGGAGGCGCTCCCCTGATAAGAGCTCATACCTTCACATTTCTGGGCCATTTTGGGGGAATACACACATGTTAGATGGAGATTCTCTTTAAAAGCATCTGTGTGTGTCTGGGCCCAGTGGCTCACACCTATAATCCTAGCACTTTGGGAGGCTGAGGCAGGAGGATCACTTGAGCCCAGGAGTTTGAGACCAGCCTGGGCAACATAGGGAGACCCCATCTCTACAAAAATAAAAAATTTATCTGTGTCTGATGGTGCATGCCTGTGGTCCCAGCTACTTAACAGGCTGAGGTGAGAGGATTGCTTGAGCGCAGGAGGTCACCACTGCAGTGAGTGGTAATCATGCCACTGCACTCCAGCCTAGGTGACAGAGCAAGACCCTGTCTCAAAAAATAAAAAATGAATAAATATATAAAAGCATCTATGTGAGGGAAAGACCTCACGCAATCAGGAAATAGGCTGCCTCGTATCCAGCATGTGTTTCTCCTGCTGTGGGGTTCACTTTTCCTGCTGAATACTCATCCAGCTGATGATTTTACCCTTAGATCAGGCGTCCCCAAACTTTTTACACAGGAGGCCAGTTCACTGTCCCTCAGACCGTTGGAGGGCCGCCACATACTGTGCTCCTCTCACTGACCACCAATGAAAGAGGTGCCCCTTCCTGAAGTGCAGCGGGGAGCCGGATAAATGGCCTCAGGGGGCCGCATGCGGCCCACGGGCCGCAGTTTGGGGACGCCTGCCTTAGATTATGGAGTCAGGGCAGTTGCTTCTCATCCCGCAGCCCATTGTTGGTGAGAACCGATACCTCCTGGGCACTTACTAGATCTGAGCATTGGGCTAAGTGCTTTACACACCGCCGTCCCTTTCACCTTCATGCCAGTCCCAGAGGTAAGGCTGTGACTCCTGTGCTGCTCTTGGGCACTCTGCCCTGCAGAGCTCAAGTGAGACTTCGATCTGTCATCTATCCGGGCCCAAGTGTGTGCCTCTCTGCTGAGCTCTGCAGACCCGATGGGATCAGTCTCTCAGCTTCCCCAGGGAAGGGATGACAGCACTGACAATTTCCGATGATCCACTTTGCATGCAGTAGTGTTGCTTGTTATGACAAAGTGAGCTTTCCTGTTCATTTTGATCTGTGCACCTGAGTACTCTTCAGTGTCTGTCCTGCCATGTGCTCTCCAGAGCATGTGCCGGCATCACAGC